ACGATAGCGCCCTTAAGGACTAACAACGGTGAAAGAAGTCACGGTAGTGTCGTAAAGGACTAACAACGGTGAAAGAAATCACGATAGTGTCCTAAAGGATTAACAATAGTGAAAGAAATCACGAAAGTGCCCTAAAGGACTAACAGATGAGGAAGCAGCCAAGGTTGTAATCTAAAGGACGAACAAAGGTGAAAGAAATCACGCTAGCGCCCTAAAGGACTAACAATGGTGAAAGAAATCACGATAGCGCCCTTAAGGACTAACAACGGTGAAAGAAGTCACGGTAGTGTCGTAAAGGACTAACAACGGTGAAAGAAATCACGATAGTGTCCTAAAGGATTAACAATAGTGAAAGAAATCACGAAAGTGCCCTAAAGGACTAACAGATGAGGAAGCAGCCAAGGTTGTAATCTAAAGGACGAACAAAGGTGAAAGAAATCACGATAGCGCCCTAAAGGACTAACAATAGTGAAAGAAGAACCAAGACGATGTTCTAAAGGACGAACAAACCAAAACAGGAAGCAATAACGATAGCGTCCTACGGGGTGGACAAAGGGGTTAGCATTTACAACAGTGACCAAAAGGACAAAGTAATATGCATGACCATTGTGCCCTAAAGGACAAAGGAAGAAACAACCAATTATTGTTATCTAAAGGACAAAGGAAGAAGTCATCCACGATTGTTCCCTGAAGGATGGAAAACGGACTGTGGAGAAAGAAGAAATCACGATTGTGTTTGACTCCTCTCATTGGACGCCTCATGCGAAATTCTCAAGGATTGAATATGTAACAAGATAACGCAGAGCATTTTAAAAGACACACAATCATATATATAAATATATATATGTTGATATTACAAAACGTTAATTTCTACTCGTTATTTTTTATTGTTCCATAAAAAGTACAGTTACAAGTCACCGGATACCCCATACACAGATATAAGTCTCTGAATACCTTATACACAGATACAAGTCACCGGATACCCCATACACAGATACAAGTCACCGGATACCTTGTACACAGATATAAGTCACCGGATACCCCATACACAGATATAAGTCACCGGATACCTTATACACAGATACAAGTCTCCGGATACCCCATACACAGATATAAGTCACCGGATACCTTAGACACAGACATAGGTCATCGGATACCCCATACACAGATATAAGTCACCGGATACCTTATACACAGATACAGGTCACCGGATACCTTATACACAGATATAAGTCACCGGATACCTTATACACAGATACAGTCCCCAGATATACAGTACAGTCTGGATACCTTATACACAGATACAAAGTTGTGGATACCTTGTACACAGATACAAGTCTCCGGATACCTTATACACAGATATAAGTCTCTGGATATCTCATACACAGATACAAGTCCCCGGATACCTTATACACAGATACAAGCATCCGGATACCTTATACACAGATACAAAGTTGTGGATACCTTGTACACAGATACAAGTCTCCGGATACCTTATACACAGATTTAAGTCTCTGGATATCTCATACACAGATACAAGTCCCCGGATACCTTATACACAGATATAAGTCTCTGGATATCTCATACACAGATACAAGTCACCGGATACCTTATACACAGATACAAGTCCCCGGATACCTTATACACAGATACAAAGTTGTGGATACCTTATACACAGATACAAAGTTGTGGATACCTTAAACACAGATACAAAATTGTGGATACCTTATACACAGATACAAAGTTGTGGATACCTTGTACACAGATACAAGTCACCGGATATCTTATACACAGATACAAAGTTGTGGATACCTTGTACACAGATACAAGTCCCCGGATACCTTATACACAGATACAAAGTTGTGGATACCTTATATACAGATACAAAATTGTGGATACCTTGAACACAGATACAAGTCACCGGATACCTTGTACACAGATACAAGTCCCCGGATACCTTATACACAGATATAAGTCTCTGGATATCTCATACACAGATACAAGTCCCCGGATACCTTATACACGGATACAAGTCACCGGATACCTTGTACACAGATACATGTCTCCGGATACCTTATACACAGATTGAAGTCACCGGATACCTTATACAGAGATACAAGTCTCTGGATACCTTATACACAGATACAAGTCACCGGATACCTTTAACACAGTTACAAGTCAACGGATACCTTATACACATATACAAGTCTCCGGATACCTTGAACACAGATAAAAGTCACCGGATACCTCATACACAGATACATGTCACCGGATACCTTATACACAGATACAAGTCACCGGATACCTTATACACAGATACAAGTCCCCGGATACCTTGTACACAGATACAAGTCTCCGGATACCTTATACACAGATACAAAGTTGTGGATACCTTGTACACAGATACAAGTCTCCGGATACCTTATACACAGATATAAGTCTCTGGATATCTCATACACAGATACAAGTCCCCGGATACCTTATACACAGATACAAGTCTCCGGATACCTTATACACAGATATAAGATGGATACCTTATACACAGATATAAGTCTCTGGATATCTCATACACAGATACAAGTCCCCGGATACCTTATACACAGATACAAGTCTCCGGATACCTTATACACAGATACAAAGTTGTGGATACCTTGTACACAGATACAAGTCTCCGGATACCTTATACACAGATATAAGTCTCTGGATATCTCATACACAGATACAAGTCACCGGATACCTTATACACAGATATAAGTCTCTGGATACACAGATACAAGTCACCGGATACCTTATACACAGATACAAGTCTCCGGATACCTTATACACAGATACAAAGTTGTGGATACCTTATACACACAGATACTTAAACACAGTCAAAACCGGATACCTTATACACAGATACACAAGTCCTTATACACAGGTCACCGGCTACCTTATACACCTTGTACACAGATACAAGTCTCCGGATACCTTATACACAGATACAAAGTTGTGGATACCTTGTACACAGATACAAGTCACCGGATACCTTGTACACATATACAAGTCCCCGGATACCTTATACACAGATATAAGTCTCTGGATATCTCATACACAGATACAAGTCCCCGGATACCTTATACACGGATACAAGTCACCGGATACCTTGTACACAGATACATGTCTCCGGATACCTTATACACAGATTGAAGTCACCGGATACCTTATACAGAGATACAAGTCTCTGGATACCTTATACACAGATACAAGTCCCCGGATACCTTATACACAGTTACAAAGTTGTGGATACCTTATACACAGATACAAAGTTGTGGATACCTTAAACACAGATACAAAATTGTGGATACCTTATACCAGATACAAAGTTGTGGATACAAAGTAGTCACCGGATACCTTATACACAGATAAAAGTCACCGGACACCTTGTACACAGATACAGGTCTCCGGATACCTTGAACACAGATACAAGTCACCGGATACCTCATACACAGATACAAGTCATCGGATACCTTATACATAGATACAAGTCACCGGATACCTTGTACACAGTTACAAGTCTCCGGATACCTTATACACAGTAAGGATACTTTATACACAGAGATACCTTATACACAGATACCCGGATACCTTATACACAGATACACAGATACAAAGTTGTGGATACCTACACAGATACAAGTCACCGGATAAACACAGATACAAAATTGTGGATACCTTGATACAAAGTTGTGGATACCTTAAACACAGATACAAAATTGTGGATACCTTATACACAGATACATGTCACAGGATACCTTATACACAGTTACAAGTCACCGGCTACCTTATACACAGATACAAGTCACCGGATACCTTATATACAGATACAAAGTTGTGGATACCTTGTACACAGATACAAGTCACCGGATACCTTATACACAGATACAAAGTTGTCGATACCTTATACACAGATACAAAGTTGTGGATACCTTATATACAGATACAAAATTGTGGATACCTTGTACACAGATACAAGTCCCCGGATACCTTATACGCAGATACAAAGTTGTGAATACCTTATACACAGATACAAAATTGTGGATACCTTATATACAGATACAAAATTGTGGATACCTTGTACACAGATACAAGTCCCCGGATACCTTATACGCAGATACAAAGTTGTGAATACCTTATACACAGATACAAAATTGTGGATACCTTGTACACAGATACAAGTCCCCGGATACCTTATACACAGATACAAAATTGTGGATACCTTGTAGAAGTCTCGATATACTTGTATACAGAATATGATGTTTTGGGTGTTTTAATGGATCCAGCAGTTTCGCCTGATACAACACAGGCATTAATAAGTATACTTAATAAGTTATGTAAAATCTCATTATAATTAATGTCTTTCCTTTGTTTTCGCATTTGTTTTGTTTAATTTCACAAATCATTATGAAGCTAATGAGATAGATCACTCGGCTAGGAATCGGCCCATCACTTACAACATACTCGCTTATGAAAGGAGATTTATGGCTTTGTGGTTGTGAAGTTACTCAGTCTTCGTGTCATTTAAAGGAGGGCCACTTTCACCCCTCCTTACTGACTCACTGACCGAGTTTAATTAACACGGGATTTCTCACTCAATGATTAATGATTTTATCTTTTATAAATAAAGGATGGAACACGATATTGTTTTTCAAATGTTTCGAAGATCAAACCAAAATTACCTCTTAATACAATACATGAAAACGGGCATTTAAAGCTCGGTTTGAAATTAAAAGAATTTCTGTCAAGTAATCACATTTGACAGATAATTAAATGCAGGTCTGTAACTTCAATGCAAATAATTCGCCATCGTCCCACCCCCTTCACCAACCAATAGGCGGGGATTAATTTATTCCGCCCAGAGTGATTATAACGCCCCCACGCGGTAATCAGCCGAAACAGATCAGAGGGACCAATAGGTGGCCGGAAGTCGTGGTATATAAAAGGTGTATTTGTTATTTGGCAGAAGTGTGTCACTTAACATCACAACATATCTTCGTATACCAACTAAACATTGTAAGTATGCAGTGCTTGTTTGGGGCCCTAGTGGTTATATACGGTTTCTGCCCTGGCCTGATAGCGGGAAATATCAACCAAGCGTTCGACGTCTCCAAATTCCTGAATCCATGGAAGGTAAGGTTGCTATACGGCTTTTTCTTACTTTTCTATATCATCTGTAATTGTGGAGTAGGAATTAATAACTTTATTAGACATATTTCAGTTGTATGTGCAGCAGTTGCGGGTTGTATTTAGTCAAACATTACAGCGTTCTCCTTAATCTATACAAAATAAACACATGTTACGTTTGTTTTCTATGTACATATGAAGAATTTCTTACAAAGATTGACGTACGCCTAGAGCCGTTTTATACGAAAAATTTGTATGTTTCTTAAATAAACTGCGTTAATTCTATAAGCTTTTTTTTCAAACCAGGATTCGGTGGTTAAAATCAGTAAAAAGAGTGTAAATAGATGGATTCGTGTCAGTTTTTTGTCCATGATATTTGTAGAGATGGAAATTTGATTTATTGTATATGTTTAGTGTTTTTATTGTAACAACTAGAGCGCTGCTTGATACTCTCATCTATTCCCAATTTTACAAACTATAATGATAATGTCGAGTGTCGTTAGTTGTCATGGTTACCATCTGTAGTGGGAGTTTGTTTTTGTGCGGGATTCTCAGTAATAGATATTGCAGTAGTTATAACTGATTACCGTGACAAGTCGAGAGCTTCATGCCAGAATCAACAATTTATGGATCAAAACAACCTTACCGTAGGGTAAACTCTGCATCATGAAGTTTTGTGATTTCTGGTCGTTTTCCGAAATCTCTTTATAACTTGCTGAATGCTAGTATTTCATTGTACGATTTTCCAATACTGATTCTATATTCGTTGGCGATCAAATATGTTCGGGATTTCGACCATCCGTGAAAATCCCAATTCAAAATAGCATTTACCTATATCATGTTTTCAATGCTTTCCCCTGATTTATGTGTTACGTGTCTTCTTGTTCGTTTGATCGCGTTCATTGTCCATTAAAAACGATACACAAGGGCTGAAATACCCAACCTCTTGAAGCTTTCATTGTATGTTATACTAGATCAATGTATGTTATACTAGATCAATGTATGTTATACCAGGTCAATGTATGTTATACCAGGTCAATGTATGTTATATTAGATCAATGTATGTTATACCAGGTCAATGTATGTTATACTAGATCAATGTATGTTATACTAGATCAATGTATGTTATACCAGATCAATGTATGTTATACCAGGTCAATGTATGTTATACTAGATCAATGTATGTTATACCAGATCAATGTATGTTATACCAGGTCAATGTATGTTATACTAGATCAATGTATGTTATACTAGATCAATGTATGTTATACCAGGTCAGTGTATGTTATACTAGATCAATGTATGTTATACCAGGTCAATGTATGTTACACTGGATCAATGTATGTTATACTAGATCAATGTATGTTATACTAGATCAATGTATGTTATACTAGATCAATGTATGTTATACCAGGTCAATGTATGTTATACTAGATCAATGTTTGTTATACCAGGTCAATGTATGTTATGCTAGATCAATGTATGTTATACTGGATCAATGTATGTTTACTAGATCAATGTATGTTATACCAGGTCAATGTATGTTATACTAGATCAATGTATGTTACACTGGATCAATGTATGTTATACTGGATCAATGTATGTTATACTGGATCAATGTATGTTATACTAGATCAATGTATGTTATACCAGATCAATGTATGTTATACCAGGTCAATGTATGTTATACTAGATCAATGTATGTTATACTATATCAATGTATGTTATACCAGGTCAATGTATGTTATACTGGATCAATGTATGTTATACTAGATCAATGTATGTTATACCAGGTCAATGTATGTTATACTAGATCAATGTATGTTATACTGGATCAATGTATGTTATACTAGATCAATGTATGTTATACCAGGTCAATGTATGTTATACTAGATCAATGTATGTTATACTATATCAATGTATGTTATACCAGGTCAATGTATGTTATACTGGATCAATGTATGTTATACTAGATCAATGTATGTTATACCAGGTCAATGTATGTTATACTAGATCAATGTATGTTATACCAGGTCAGTATGTTATACTAGATCAATGTATGTTATACTGGATCAATGTATGTTATACTAGATCAATGTATGTTATACCAGGTCAATGTATGTTATACCAGGTCAATGTATGTTAAACTAGATCAATGTATGTTATACCAGGTCAATGTATGTTATACCAGGTCAATGTATGTTATACTAGATCAATGTATGTTATACCAGGTCAATGTATGTTATGCTAGATCAATGTATGTTATACTAGATCAATGTATGTTATACCAGGTCAATGTATGTTATACTAGATCAATGTATGTTATACCAGGTCAGTGTATGTTATACTAGATCAATGTATGTTATACTGGATCAATGTATGTTATACTAGATCAATGTATGTTATACCAGGTCAACGTATGTTATACCAGGTCAATGTATGTTACACTGGATCAATGTATGTTATACTAGATCAATGTATGTTAAACTAGATCAATGTATGTTATACCAGGTCAATGTATGTTATACCAGGTCAATGTATGTTATACTAGATCAATGTATGTTATACCAGGTCAATGTATGTTATGCTAGATCAATGTATGTTATACCAGGTCAATGTATGTTATACTATATCGATGTATATATTATACTAGATCAATGTATATCCTACTAGATTAAGTGATGTTATGCTATATTTGGTCTTGGAGACAAGATTGTGTCTGTGTTCACCAACTACTTAGCCTTTGCATGTTTATATTGCCCGTAATTTACAAGGACTACATAGACTTATTGCAAGTAGCCTAAATGTTTACAAACGAGAAGGTTTTATATGTTTCGGAAAAGGCAGTGAATGTACAGAACAATACCCCTGTGTAAAGTACATATAAACTTATCCATGACGTTTGGCACGAGCGCAAATTGACCGGAAGCTGTTCAATATGTGACGTCACCGTATTACCGTATTACGTTACCCTTGAAACAGGATTGGTGTTGGCAAATGGAAGAATGATAGGATCCCCTTCACATGATAAACTTGTATATTTGTTGATATATGCTTAAAGTGATAGATTCCATACTTATTGCGATATCTTTGGTGAGAAATGATTTAAATCACTATATCTGGAAAGTCCCCGTGACACTAGATGGAAGTTAAATTAGTATCAAAAACGGCCAATATCGGACTGCATCGTCTACCAGGCATGGCGGACACGTAGATTATCGATGTACAAAAACGAACTCAGAGTCATTTTAATCCTCCATCAAAGTTCTAAAAATATCATCAGAAAAGAGATTAATTTGCTCCAGGTGAATAGTGGATATTGTCGGCCGTATCAGTGATGGGTTGCTATGGTTTAAAGAACAGAACATTTCCGTTTATTTGTCAGATGAACACGTTTGATGAATGATCTTATATTTGTATGCAATTTAAGGACACCAGGGGTCACATATCTCTAGCAACAAAAACAGCATACAAAGCTTTACCTTCCGGTAACAGGTACTTAGCACACCGGATGTGATGTCATTCGGCCATTCATGAATTAAGGAAGAGGTTGATTGTAGGCTAAACCGCAGATGATGTACAAATATACAAGCTCAAATGAGAAAACCAGCACGTAGTATGATTATCACTAGTTTGGAACGCTTTACTTACTGACAAATAAATAATAAGTAATGAAGACAGGTGTAAATAAAAACAGTCATGCATTTCTTTGTGTTCGGATGTGGTCGGTATGGATAGACTCCTGACCGCTCTGTGAACAGTCAGACTCATTCTAATGCGAGCTGTCCTTGGAGTACATGTAGCTGGTGCCTACCGTACCGAATAACATGCGAGAACCCCCACGTATGATATCTGAAGCCACTGAGAAGTAATATCAGCTGAGAAATTCAAAACACGCCGAGTAGGGATCGAACCATGCCCCTCGGATCGTCTCCTCGGGATGTTAGTCAGTTGGCTTAGCTATAGCGTCCCCTTCGGAACACAAGTATTCCAATGAGCAAGGAGTTGTAAAATAAGGAAAAGTGCTGAGATGATAAAAGGGATTAAAATAGAAATAAAGTTTAGCGATAAACAAAGGAAGGGGAGAGAGCGGGAGCGTAAGAGGTATACACAAGTGGTTATTATATATTTCACGAGTATGACAGAATAATCATATATATTTCACGAGTATGACAGAATATCTATATATTTCACGAGTATGACAGAATAATCATATATATTTCACGAGAATCATATACATTTCACGAGTATGACAGAATATCTATACATTTCACGAGTATGACAGAACAATCATATACATTTTACGAGTATGACAGAATAATCATATACATTTCACGAGTATGGCATACTATTTATATATATTCACGGGTCATACGAGTATAAAATATTGATGATAGTAAATAAGAATCCGTTAAATGTTCTTTTTATTACATTTTTAAAGGAAAAACAAATTAAAAAAGAATATCTAAACTAAAAACAAAGCAGATGTTCAAAACCGTTCAGGAAAGATAAAGCCATCAAATAGTTTGACATTACATTTAATACTTCAATGTAACGGTACTCCTTTGTAATACCTCAGTTAACGACTCACGCCATTTCAAGATTCTTGAAAAAATCATTGTTTCAAATAAGAAATAATTTCGATCTTTTCTCTTTTGTTGTTTGTGTCAGTATTTTGAAAAATGATAACGTTTGTTCTTCTAGAAAATGATTACTGCAATATTAGTTTGTATAGATATAAATGTTGTGAATTATATTCGCGAAAGAATGATGGTGAGAAAAGAGCCTGGATTGGATTACCTGCCTTAATTACAACTGTTCTCCGCTAGATTTTTCTCGTTGAAATTTTCGAAGCGAAGTTTACCGGAAACCAGAAAACTACGACAGGCAATCCAGTCCACCAACCGTCCTAATTATATTTTGTACTCTAGAGATACATATCCACATACAGTGACATCAGTGATAATTGACGGTAATTTGGCTGTAATATTGGCACATTTCCTCCTCAAAAATGCAAATGTTACTGTTAACGCTGATCGTCGGCATACAAAACAAAGTGTATTGTGGCTCTTAAGGAACGACAACTCTGGTAGAGATCGGTTATACTAAACAAGACTGCGCCATTTTGAATGGGTTGCTTTATTTGGTATCGAATCATTTTATCCATTTCGGTGTTAAGATTCAATTGTTTTATTTACGAAAAATCACTATATATATATATACTAAAGGACAGAAAATGTGAAGAGAAACAGAGTCAAAGAGAGGGATATCAGCAGACAGACACAGTTAAAGAGACAGAAGTAGTTAGAAGTCATAGGTCAGTAATTCAGACACTGAGTACTAAATAAGTAAGAGATGAGTAATTATGAAACACTATACCGTGGTCATATGGTATTAATATAAATACAATTGTGTAAAAAAACAATCTTTTCGTATATTAGGGATTCATTTCGCGTGCTCTTCACGTGACGTACAAAAGAAAACGTGAAAATTTTAATCACGAACCGAAGCGTGAGTTTAGCAAAACAAAATATTGTCTAGTCAAATAGGCGCGCATGGGATAATACGTTATTAGACATGTCTAAAAGTCTGTATCATTAAGCTGTAAACGAAATATAAGCTGTGCACTCAACACCAATCTGTCTATCACATTAATGGTCTGTTATCCAGTGAATACGCCCTTGTAATATTTTGACGTTTATGTCACAACTGTAATATTATATACACTCGAGTGTTTACCATTGCCTCGCAAATTGAAAATCGATTGTGATGATATGGACATTATTGTTGCGTCATTAATTGAAAATGGCGCAACCAATGGGGTGCCTTCGTTTTATTTTGTCTTTCACTTTTTTGGAAAGATTGAGACATCTCAAATTTTACCTTTTCTGACATTTTAATAAGAAGTATTTCAAATTTGTTTGTTTTCATTTCAAACGAGATAACATGTCTCGCAAAAACAAAACTTCAAAGGCTCGTTTGATGAATTCAATTATAAAAAGAAAACTCATTTTAAGATCCTCTGTGATATTCTTCGCGTAATTCTTTCAAGGCCACACGGAAACAGTTCAATCAGTGTACCTGTACGATTCAGCCTGCGATAAACCAAGCGCCTACAGTACGTTAGCTACGGTATTTTCGATCATCAAGTATGCTGATTATCAAACTATGGACACACATTTGAGACACAATTACACTTACATGTCATTACGTGGCCATTAGAGGGACTGTATGGAGTCTTAATGAGTCCTGAGTGCTGTGGGGCTGTATACAGATGGACAGATGGCTGCCATCCAACCAACACGATACTTCACATCATATGATATAGATGTAATCCATACATTTTGCAGGCAGATTATTGATTATGAAACTAAGTAGCCATCAGGGGTTCGCATTTGGAATGGTTACATGTTACAAATATCAAGTCCATAATACCAGATTTTAACGCTAATCTGCTGATAGCGGTTAAGTTTACATTAATTTGACAAATTGTTTCCATTCTCTGAAAACCAATACAGACCGTTTCACGGTCAGTGAAGTTTGGTTGATTGTAAAAAAACTACGCAAACAAATTTAGCTTTGAAAGAGCCTTGTAAATTCAGCACATAAATTTGCGTGTCTCATAGTCAATAATCTATTGTTATTTAACAGTACAAAGTCGAGGTACATTGCATTGCTGTGGGGATGCAGCAACACCTTACAGGCCAAATATCAATAAACTTAACAAATACATGTGTCCGCTTCAATGCCTCCATTTTATTCTCACCCCGGTTAACTCTAATTAAAGAAATCGTACCGGAACACCTAGTCCGGAAAATAGTCAAAACCTATATGCAAAACAAACAGATCCGGATCAGCCTGATAGTAATACATTACGACATTTCTTACATGATAGTATCATAACTAGGAAAGAAAGAGGTAAAAAAATATTTCAAGATAATCGATAAAGTCAGTCCTCCTTCCGACCCGCCAAATTCAAACCAACGCTTGTGTGTATCTTCCACTTAAATGCTGCTTTAACATGTATTAAATACATGTTGACTTTGGAGATCAAGCAATTTATACACACCAGTTAAAAACCTGTCATCTCCGTTGTCAGTTGGCCTCTAACATATTTGTTTTTAATACTTGTGACCAATGTGTTTTGCTCGAACTCGCTTAATATGTCCAATTTTCATTCCCATTTTTCTAACATTAAATCGTATTGATACTACGTATTTTTGTTTAATATCACTCATTTATGTATTTCAGGGATCAGACATACCAGAATGTACTGAGCTCGACAAACCTTGTGACATAGCTATTGGTCTGATACAGAACGGTAGTTTGTCAAAAATAACGACGGAAGAAGAGATGTGCGCATGTCCAGGAACAAACAAGTGTCCCAGGGGTTGGGAAACGGACCTAAGGAAGTCCAGACGAATGGAACTCCAATCCTCAGGTACACCGTAAAGACAACTATACAACAAGAATACATAACTGCAACCGAGTTTATCTAAGTGACATTCAATCAATACCACGCCCACCAAACTTAGCGAGAACGATGGCGAGGTGGTTAACAAGGCCCTATTTATAGTTGTTCACGCAGGTGTAGCACATAATTTGATGTCAAGCAATACTTCCATGACCTGTAAGGTATACCTCGAGTCGTGAAAGTGTTAACAATGATGCCATTTAGTTAAAGTCGTTTGCTGATTGGACGATACAAGAATGTAATTCAGTCCTAAACTTACAGTAAATCGAAGGCCGGCCTGTATCATGTTATCTGTTTTGTTCTTTGTAATACGAAATGTCGCCATAAAAGATGATTTCTAAAATTTCAGGAAACTCAAACTTGAAACCTTAATATTCGAACAACACCTATTTAATGTATTATATATATGTATATCCGCATAAAGAGGTATGGCGTGACCCGACAGATTCGATTTAAGTTCGATCTGACGAACAGTATAATATTTATAAGTATCTAAGCATAGACGGTAACATAGTACTGCCACGTTAGTTAAATTTTCATGGAGTCTCAAATTCAATCCCAGCTACTGACGTCAAAATGTTATTGATGTATAATTTTTCAATACGCATTTTAATTAACTATTTTTTTGTTGAGTGTCGGTTAGCTTACTCATATAATCATTGATTAATTGTTACTTTATTATTCATACGCATTGCGTCAATTACTGGCCAAAACCCGAATACAACAAATGAGTTGCCTGGTAATGCTAGTGACATAGAGCCCTACTTGATGGTTTTGGCGATATGGTAGAATGTCATCTCAGTGTTCAATGTATCTTCAGAATTATAAAAAGTTACTTATTAAGGAGTAATCCAGCGATTTAATTAATGTGTGTTTTTGTCTATTTTTGTACATTACCGAGCTTTAATCGAAATATCGTCAACGACAAACACGTTTAACACACCACTTTCCGGACGTACATGTTCTATATTTAGACACGGTTACTCCGAATGCACGTTTATGGTCATGTATTTCTAGGTCAACCGAGACGATGAACTGAAATAGATGCACCGTCACGATAAAGCGCCATACCTCTTTTGTTGATATCTTGTTTAGAATTATCTTTTAATCACTAAGATTTTTGTAGAAAAAATTGAACAGGACAAGTTGAAAGTAATTAGTCTGAATCCAGTTGTTTCAATGGTTTCAAAATGTAATTCACATGTGCAATAAATCGACTTTTTTTGTTTTATGTAATACAAAAGTTTCGATGTTACCAAAATGACTGCAGCGTAAGATAAGACGAGTTTTAGCAGTACCTGTATCCATATTTACATGTTAATACATACTGTCCTTTTTTCTAGGTTCTGAAGCCCTCATCCAATTCAACTACTGCGAAGATATCCCCGAACTTCCGGTCTGTCTTGGTACCGAAATTGCTCTGAAAACTCTCGAGATTGGTCTTTACCCAGAAGAGATTTTAGAAAACAAATGTCGTTGTCCAAACGGTCGACATCTTTTGCTGAAGAAGAGTCAACTGGTTTACCGTAGACGATACCAGGACTATGTGTGTAGTATGGTGAGTGATATGATTACCGTGCTCGGGGTATAGCTTGGAAATTAATGTAGTAGTGAAGTATTTAATGTCCTGCAGGTTCTATTGCACTTTCCCTATATTCTACATGTAATATGATCACATTGATGTTTCATCAACATGTTGATATAATATCGTTAAGAGCCGAGTGACAGAACAAAATGCGACCACTTCTGTATTGCAGACAAGACCGCATTTCTGACATATCATAAATGTCAATGACAGTTTTGATTTTTTAATTTTCATAGTAATTCTGCGTTTTCTATTTGCCAAAAAGAACACATGAAACAATCTTAAAAAGTCGTATAGCATGCTACAAGAGCATTGTAAGCCTGATGTTTCCATAAATAGATTTATTTGGAACTTATTCGGAATACCTCTAACTTTATCAGCTTAAGATGCTTATGCTAACCAAAGAACAATGACTGCTTCTTCATCGAGAAACAAACGGACGGGGTTGACTATGCCAATACATAACAGTCAGTTATGACAGTAGTGATACAATTTACAGTGTTTGACGAATTATGGAATCTTCTCCAAGCAAGGAAGTGCAAGGATAACATAGAATTAAGACGGAGCTAAATTATCAAATTTCTATCTCGGGATGGTAAATCAATTTCCTTGTTGAAAGGAGTTGTCCTCTAACTATTTCAAAATTCAATTACTTATCAGTGTTTTCCCTCCAAGATTAGAACCATAATTACCTGCTGCAAGGTTGATAAAATCGCGGATTGACCTCATAAACAATCTGTAATTGTACATGGTATATCACAAACGTTCATTATTTGAATGACGCCTCCCGGTATTTTGTTAAAGTTGATAAAATATCGACATGTTTAGAAAATTTGAACAATGTAGTTGATCATCAATCTTGCATAACGTGGAATGTAAACAAACTTGGTTGTACTGCAGGGGAAATCTCGCTCTTGAGTAGATAAATGAAAACTACAAAGCCTTAAAAGTGTGTAATATTTACTGCATGTAACTTAAGTAAGTATTATTACTGAACGGCCTGAATATAAACATAAAAAATAGGATTCATTCCGCGTTTAAAGTTGTATACATGGGTGTTATATTTGCATTGCTGACGTCATCATCTTAGACATTCAAAGCCGAAGTATTATTTTCTGTTAGAGTTACCCCCCTTACATCAAGTAACCTTCACTCAATTTTATTGAATTGAAGAAAGATATGAAAATAGACTTACAGATTAAGTCCGTATATCGAAAAATATGTTGTGGGAAAATGAAATTTACGCTATGATACAAATAAATATACATGGAGAAAGGTTTCCAAAATATTTTATATCAAAATCACAAAACAGTGAAGGAATCAGTTTATTTATATGTTATGTGTTAAGGCAGATGTCAGTTCTAAGCATCATTATAATTTCCCCTTTAAGTTTCTAAGATATGGTGATGTTCCGGTTACACACATCATTTGTTACATACTTTCACGAGTTTGACAGAGGGGTTACGGTATAGAATCAAGCCAGATTAAAGTAATTGACGAGTTGCATATTAAAATATTACTACATACTGCCGGTGATCACTGCCATACCATTATGTATCACAAGGCGGATTCATTGGTTAACTAGTTTTTATAATATTCCTGATATGTCACCATGGAAAACGCGGACATGTTGTTACTTCAACTCTATTTTCCTCTAGTACAATAAACGTTGATACTTAAGCTATTGACTTAATCTCGATTAAAAAAAATGTATTTTAGTGAATATGTACTAAATGATGGAAAATAAGCAACCAAAAACGAGAACTATGAAAGAACTAAAACACTGTTTTTGTGTCCAATATGCATTATACGATGTAGTTATGCTGGTCTTAATGAATCTAGACTGTCAACTAACATGACACGAATATCATTATGGATAAATTAATGACGGGCAATTATATATGATGTTTTACTACTTCGTTTTCAACCAATCACTGCTTTTCTTACAGGCGGAGTGCGACGTCAGCAACAGTCAAGAGTGCTTCCACTCCAGGAGAACCGGATTTGGTGTCTATACCACTACCGTACACTGCCGATGTGGAAACGGATTCGATTGTGTAACAGACAGACGCTCTGCAAACGGACGACAAGACATATATGGCCGTTGTGAAGAGATGTGAGGCAGACCAAGAGTACAGAATGTCTAATTATCTAAGTGAATTAAACATTTTTAGTGTGCTCATTTGGTCCCGGTAACAACCGAATAAGTATCCTTGTTGTAAATATCACGATATAACATTCTCCTTTGGACACTGTGTGTGATGGCAATCATTTTGACTCGTCTGCTTTAAAAAATATATATATATATATATTTATGTATATGAAAAGGAGACCAGTTTGATTTCACAGAACGTTTTTCATCATACATCCGTGACGTAACTTGCTAAAATGATCGTTTGATATATATATATATATGTACATGTAAGGGCCTTTCATAAAAGTTGCTTTTTCATTACTTTAAAAATTGTACACTTTCATTATCTTAATAAAGCATATATGAAACTGTAATGAGTCACTCTGTGATTAGATTGCTGGTTTTGTAGTAATAATGGAAAGTTTTCCAAATCCATTTGAGGAAAATGCGTTTTCCTAAGCCAGACTTATTTAATCGAACAGAGACAGCTAACAAAGACAATTCTTACTCTAGTTTTTCAATTTAACTTTTATATTCAGCTATGATGTGTTGTCTTCAAACGCTAAATATTAAGCATTTCATCACAATAGACTTTAGTGAATTTGAATTCGAGTACATTACTCAATCTTTTTCACTAGTTGCAGACTTAGAAACATCATGATATAATTTTAAGTAGAATGGATTACATTTTATACTTCAATAAGCACCACGACTGTGACCGTAAGGGGGTACCTCAATGTGTTTGCTACTACGAATTAATTGATTCCCACTACGTAATATTCGGACATAGTTCAAATGCTGAGATCTCGGAGGTACGGGAGACACAGCATGCTGTAGATTTCCGTGATATAAAAACAGTTCATGCTATGGTTTTTAATGTGTTTTTATTTCGTCTTGATTCATACTATAGTGACACGGCGTTTTGATTTACATTTGTATTTTTTGTCTCGTTGTTGTCCGATTCCCACTTTCCCGTTGTGATGTTGTACCTTACCCAGTGATGACATTTCATGACGTCAACTTTTTTAAACCGTTATCGTTGTTCCTTCTCCCCTCGATTCTCATTTCAAATTGGCATTTTAATAAATCCAATTCTTAAATTGTTTAAAGAAATCATTTCACAATTTTGTAGCCAATCGAAAGCGATTTAACAAATAATGACGTCATTTTGTTTGTTACTGAATGAAAACAAAACGTTTCATCTATACATATTTTAGATTTGGATAAGATTCCATTTCTCATTTAATAGAAAAAACCTCTACATTTGTGGGTATAGCTTGTTATTAATCATTAGGGATACTCGAAACCTTAGTATTGAACACTTTTGCACCAACATACCTGAAGTCTAACTGTGTGTGGTACTGATTGGGCAAGTTTTAGTGATCACTACACAGTATATAACACGAAAAAGACAAGGATACAAGAAATCATACGGAATTAATACCACTCGATACCGATGTTACAAACATTTTGACAATTTTTAACAGTGATTTAGATTCAGCCTACTGGGATCTTCCTGAAGTTAAATCTCCACGGGAAATAATATGATAACAATTAGATTTAGAGATGAACGTGTTTGATGCTCGTTAGTTTGCCTGTTGGTTTCATTGTTGTATGCTTTGTTCTTTTTTGAGAACGTGAAATTACTTGGATCGATATTTCAAACGTCGTTGAAGCAGAAGACGCGTACTCTTCCGAAACACCAGGTCTTATTCTCCTTATATTTTTCAAGACTCTTCATGTAAATCGTTTGTACATATGTTTTCCTAGGTTTCTTAAATTTGAATCTGGACCATGATGGTGTTGCCATGTTCATATTTTCTTTCTCCTTTTTTTAATCACTATAAACAAGCTTTGAAATATAAAGGTTAAAGATTTATTCAAACCTCTGGGCCACTGGTACATCAATACTGTACATGAACATTTAATCATAATAGCATAATGCATAGAGAGTGATTATCTTGTCACATAGACAATAGATATGATATTTAACATAGATATAACATAGTAATCAAAGGGTTCCGAGGTTGTAAAGCGTTAAAAGTAATTTTCTCTAGCGCATGAAATTCTTTATATTTTCGGACATTTAACTACTAAAAAACCATACTGGTTGTGAGAAACATACGTATGAGCTAATCAATTGAAGTTCAGTACAACATTAGGAATCTCTATGTATATGATTTGTGTTCAATATTTTATTGGATACATACTGTGATATACTGACTTTGACCAGATCTCTGATATCAATATCATATTTTGTGATATATGTTATTTATGCTATCAACTCTTATTTCATACACGTATTGTATGATTCTAAATGCTGTTAGTATTGTTTATTTATTGGATCGCATCAGAGAATAGTCATTGACTCCAAGCATGATAAAAATTATTATAAATATAAACATATTATTTCTCTGCTTGTAAATGATTATCATTATTACTGACATTAACACACCAATGACGATTTTGGCTGGAAGATGTATGATCAGCATTTCTATAAGAAATTCATACGAACAATCTGTCTGAAAACTGTTACACACCCCACTGATAACGCCGACCTATCTTAGGATGTACCCGTGTTGAGGTAGTAAATCTTTCGTGTTTGTGGTCAGGATACCATCATGGTCATTCTACAGTTCCTGGATGAAATGACTCAAGGCTATGTATTCCAGTGTTAATATCTGCACCTGGTGTGTTTCCATTGATAAACCGATTAGTCGACATATATCCACGGCTACCTGAAGGTGCATTAAGTCGCAGTCCACCAAGGGTAAGTGCACAAAAAATGTATTTCACATTTAGGTCTCAGCGTCTTGGATTTAATATGTCCATGCAGATTCTTCAGAAGAGTGCAATAAACATAATTCCGTACACGACGTTTTGATGCATATTGTTTGTTGAATATTTACTTTATATTTGGAAATAAAAACAAATTAAAATGCAAGTTTCATGATGTTGAACTTATCCATGGATATAAATATATGATATAAAGTCCTTTTCGTGGTATACTAAACATTGCACTTAACACAGTGGGGAACTCTCAAATATGCTGTTACTTATAATATATATACAATGTGCTTTAAATTTTACGTAAGTTATATTTGTTGATATTTATTGGTAGCAATTAAACTTTGACATTGCACAAAAAATCAATCCATTCCGATATGTTTGACAAAACTGATATGTGGTTTTCAAAATACAATTATAGTTCATAATTTTGAAATAACATTATTAGATCAACGTTTTTTTTGTACGTACATATTTTCTAACATGTTATTTCTTTCCACAAAATCGATCTTGTACGAACATAAATATATATACATGATTTATACATTAGTTTCTGTAATATTCAAATTTTAAAACAGACGGTAAATTAACTATATATGTTAACGTAAAACAACATATTGCTTGACTTCTTTCAGCCTGTGGGATGAATCGCAGTAAGACAATATGGTGCGTGCTCACCAGTATTGTGTTAATCCTTTCTCATCGCACTAACGGTCAACTGACAGGCGACTTTGCTACTTTTCCGGGTACAGGCAATACTGTCCTCACCACGAATGAGCAGGGGGTTCAAGAACTAGTCAGATACACGCCCTACTTTGTCGAGGATGAGAGCACGGTTGGTTACACAGGTATTGAAATGGGATGTTGTTTACAAAATACATTAACGTAATGGCACTTTAACAATACAATGCTATGAATAAACGGCTTGTAAACACCATGGTATGTCTTAAAGGCTCACAAAGAACTGAATACTATAGCGTTAAGACTTACGTTAACTGTTCAATACAACAATTTAAGGACGCTGTTTACACTCTTTGGGGCAAGATGCATATAACTTACTAGACTAATGTAACATTTATATCACCAATAGTTATCTATTTATTCAATAAGGTATAAAGAAAACCGATGATGCGTTTTCTTAACAAGATCAAGAAGTAGATGGAAACCTGATGTGAAAAAGGAACTAATGTAACATTTATATCACCAATAGTTATCTACTTATTCAAATCCCAGTATCACGATTTGTATGATGGTATATTGAATGCTGATGGAAATCTTGCCCTGCAGATTTTTTTGAAAGACGCAGGTTAAAGGAGATTTTATCTTCCCAGGAATGAGACCAGATCTCCTCAGTTGCAGTTGTCACCATACCAAACAAATAATAAATAAAATAGATAAATACATGTAATATCAATCTAATACCTTCACGTTTGGAATTAACTGTAAACGTTCTATTTATAGAAATGATGACATAGTTTATGATTAAGACTCCGTCAGATCTCCGTGAACAGACAATGAAGTGAAATATGAATTTGTGTTAGATCTGGAGTATCACAATCATTAGGTAGAGCTATGCTGAGTTAAATAAAGTCATAATGTGATAACATCAATGAACCTATACACGTTTCATACAGATTGTCTGCATATCTGGAAAACATTTGTCTGTAATCGACATCTATCACGGAAATCATTGACATTATCTAATTAATTGAAATCAAATTTTCCTCTCAAAACTGATGTTTCTGATTGATTCCATTAGCTTGTTATGTTTTAACCAAATTCTATTCTATGATTTATTTTTCTGGCTTTTTTTTTTTTTTTTTACAAATTATGATAGTTTGCATTTGTCAATTTTTGACACTACAATGCCAATTTTGGTATCACGATTTGTAATTTTTATTGATATTGTCCTATTTCAAATTACGAGAAGTATATTTAATACCGTTCCATTTCACAGTTCTACTAGTGTTTTACATTATTCTATCTTTACATTGTTCTATTTTACATTATTCTATTTTTACATTGTTTTATTTTACATTGTTCTATTTTAAATTGTTCTATTTTTACATTGTTTTATTTTACATTGTTCTATTTTAAAGTGTTCTATTGTTCTATTTTACATTGTTCAATTTTGAGGTGTTGTATTTTACATTGTTTTGTTCTATTCTACATTGTTCAACATTGTCCTATTTTGTAGTGTTCCATTTAACACTGTTCTTCATGTATTTTTACTTTGTTGTTAACATGTTTTAAACTGTCCTTTTGCTACAGTAACTACACTGTTGCTACTTGGTGTATTGGTCACTGTAATTAACCTGACGTCAGCAAATCAATCTGATATGACGGTTGCCATGCTCAGTGCTGGAATGGGCAGCTATCTCGGATATGGGTACGTATCATCGATCCTTTTCCTTTCTTCTCTTATTTTGATTTTTAACATCCTCGATACAACCAGTGTAGCATAAGTGCGGTTGTGAAGAGGGATGATAAAAGTGGAAAATATAGCAGTGATTGAAAGAGCAGCAGAAAGTCAAAGAAGGA